CATGCCAGTCATGCATGATGCTCCCTTTCTTGATACTCTCCTTAAAATAAAAAAAATATATATCACATTAATAATGGAGCTTGAATTGTATTAAGTTAAAGTTACACTCCTGCAGAAGAGATACACATTAAGTAAACAAATGAATATGACAATAGAATTATGATAAAGGATGAGAACTATGTCCTATGAGAACAAAAAGGGGTAACACAATTGGTATTTGTGGTCAATCAAGCTGCTGAGCGATGTTAAGAATCAGTAAAATTAGGTTGATAGGAAGAAGAAAGAGAAATAAAGCAACAATAACAGCATATGTGAAGAAACTTCAATCAGGAAAGACCTTGATGAGTACAAGGACTATCAATGAGGCCAATGCAGTTGGAGTTAAACAGAAAACCGTAGCATGTGAGGATTGAGTAGTGGCCAGTGTCAGTGGCAAGCAGTGGCCATGGGAAAGAGTTGCAAAACAAATTGTCATAAATCCAATGCAGAATTCAACTCAACTGCTTTCCTCCCAAAGTTCCTTGCAAACAACAAACAGAAAATATGTTTGTAAAGGGCATAAATTTCTGAGAACAAAGAGATGAGGAGGAAAAAAAATAGCAGCATTAGTTTCAAAGGTCATCATTGATTTTCCAAATCTGAGAAAGCTTGCATGAAGAAAACTGAGAAGTTACCTAATGCATTATTATTCAATGGAAATGTCGAAAAGCTGAAGCTAAAACAAATAGGATAGGTCAATGCCATGACACAGTAAGCTAATCCTCCAGCTGTGGTGCCAGCATCCCATATGGGCTCCAGTTCACATTCTGGCTGTTCCACTACTGATCCAGCTGCTTGCTTAGGGACTGGAAAAGCAATAAAGGAAGCTTCGAGCCTTTGCACTCCTGCAACCAAATAGGAGAACTGCAAGAAGTTCTTACATTGGCTCAACTCCAGCCATTGAGGCCATTTGGGAAGTGAATAGTAGATAGAATATCTGTATCTACTCTCTCTCTCTTTCTCTCTACGAATCTACCTTTAAAATAAAAGTGAAAGAAATCTTACAAAAAAAGAGGAGTTAGTCCATTGTGAGTCATAACAGAGTGAAGGAGAGTAAGGCAGAAAGGTGGTTTTAATTACCTTCTCTTGAAAGAAGCTCCTCACGATGGCTCAGCTATTTGGGCAGTGAATCAGTAGATGGAGGATCTCTGTCTCTCCTTCTCCCTGTAACTCTGTCTCTCAGATAAAAATGAATGAATCTTCGAAAAAACTTATAGTGAGTTGAACATTGATTTAACATGGATTTATTCTGAAAAGAATTCAATAAAGACAATTAGCTGCTTGCAAACTCTGAGAAAAAAGGAAAAGCACAGCTTAGAGAAAGCCATGGTTGCTCCTGAGAATAACTGTTGGTTTTCAGAAAGTCGGGAATAGCAAGAACTGAAGGAAATTATCAGAGATCATCATAGTTATGTGAAGCAAGACAACAGGCGATCTGCAAGAAAACACCTGAGGCTGCATAAAATTTCATATTTACTGCAGTCCATAACATTGTCTGCTTCTGCCAGACAATAACAATGTGATGTCTACCTTTCTTATGCCTCTCAATTCATGTAGGGGTGCCTGTCATTAGTAGAGTTAAATTCAGAATGCCAACAGCAAGTGAATCCCAGAATGCAGTTCCTAGTTCCTATCCCTGTGACAAGAAGAGTAGAGAAGAGGTTTTTTTTAAAAAAAAAAAAAAGTAAAAGTGGGCCTAGCAAGGTAGCCTAGTGGCTGAGGTCCTTGCCTTGCACACCCTGGGGACCCATGTGGGTGCCAGTTTTGCCCAGCTGCTACACTTCCGTGGCCTGGGAAATCAATTGAGGACAGCCTAAAGCCTTGGGACCCTGCACCTGCACAGCTTCGGACTAGCTCGGCTCTGGCCACTGCAGTCACTTAGGGATTGAACTGGTGGATGGAGGATCTTACTGTCTGTCCTTTTCTCTGTATATCTTTCCAATAAAAAAGTAAATCTTTAAAAAGAAAAAAAACAGGTAAAGTGTGTCTGTGTGTGTCTGTGTGCATGCGCACACTGGGGTCTGAGTGTGTACATTGGTTGTGTGTGTGTTCATGGATATGAGTTTCCATCTATCCACCCAGACACATTTCCCATTTGTGCAACTGCATCATCTCCTTTCCGTCATGCAGGCAAAGAATGAGACAAAGTAGAGGAGAGTGTTAGACTCAATTGATGGCTTGCACAGAATTGCAAAATGGGATTAAGAGCAAATGTACTTAGTAAATGTTGAGTATACCTAGCCCACTTCTCCCATTCAACTCCCAAAATGTTGATGATAGTTATACTCCTTGCCAGATGTAGGAAGAGCCTTCCCCCAGAAACCATGTTCAGTCCAAGAGAAAGAACACAGACTTATTAATACCAGGGTTCTTCCAGAAAAAGAACCTGCCATGTCTCTTTTGTGGGTGCAAAGCTTTAAACAGCTACTTATTACACAACATTAAATACAAGTCAAGAATCACCATCATTTGAGGTAGCAACAAATATATTAGAGCCACAAGGAAATCAGAAGTAGAAAATCACAAAAATAGAGGGAATAGAAGAGGAAAAGTTTTTAAAAAGAAAACTATCATTGGATGTCTTCAAAGAGAAAAGTGAATAAACTAATAACAAAATGCTTTTTATATTATGACAGAATATAAATCTTTGAAAATATTTCTAGAAATTATGGTAAAATGACGAAGAGATTAAAGAATTAAGACAAAAAAGAGCATATTTCAAATAATGGAACGTCTATTAAAAATGAAGGACTGAGGAAAAATGAGGAAATTATAAGAATACACAGTAGTAATTCAGGATGATGTGAAGGATATTATGCTCAATACAATAAATACACATGATCACAGGCTCATATGAAAACACTATAAACAAAAAAGAAAATATTACAAAAATGTTTAATATCTATTATTTTTCAAGTGCTTAAAAGGCAGAGGAAGGCAGAGAGAAAATCTTCCATCTACACATTCACTCCCCCAAGACTCTCCGCAATCAGGACTAACACACATTAAAACCAGCCAACAAGAACACCCTCAAGTCTCTGACATGGGTGGCAGGGGCCCAAATCCTTGTTCTATTATCTGTTGCTCCCCGGAACTTGCACTACCAGTAGCTGGTTCATCAGCAGAGCAGTCAGGACTCAAGCCCAGGCACTCACCGTATGAGGTACAAGTGCCCAAAGGGTGATTTAACCAGCTTTACCACAATTCCTATCCCAAAATACTACCAATTTTTCACAGAAAACAAATTCAAGACTTTATTAGGGACTAGGGGACTTTTTCTGTGAAAAGTCAGATCATACATATTTTAGAGCCTATAGTCCATACAATTACTGTCAAAATTACTCACTCTAAGGTTGTAACAAGAAAGCCACCATAACAAAAATGTATAAATGACTATGTATGGCTATATTTCAATAAAACTTTGTTAATAAAAGTGTTATTTTAAGTCTAGAGGAAGGAGCTTGATAAACGTAAGGTCAGAATAATGTCAGATTTTTCAATAAACAGACTAGAGACTAAATTGTTATTGCTTAACATTGCTGAAAGAAATTTATGATTAACTTATAATTCCATGTCCAGACAAATTATTAAACAAATGTGAGGAGTGGATTATTCTTGAAAGTTTTATGTCCCTTGTGCCCTTTTATCAAGAGACTTGCCAACAATGTTTTCATCAAAACAAGCCAAAATCTCATCCATTACAAACAAAAACTGAAAATAACCTACATTTTCAAAACAAGGAGGTTATTAAATAAATTAGGTGTGTGCAGATGTTGAAATTACATCAAGGCACTAAAATTTATGGCTCTGAAGATGCTTTAATGACAGAGAAATGCTCAGAATAGAAATTAATGACAAAAGTAGCAATATAGAATTCTCTTTACAATCTGACTTCAATTTTCTCATTCACATATCAAAATCATAATACTTGTTAAGTCATTTCAATAGTGAGAAATGGAAATTCTATTATTTCATTCTTCTTACAATTCAAGATGTCATTTTTTTTAAAGAGAAATAGGTGGAACCTAGGAATCCGTATTCATCCTTGGATTCTCTGATACCAACCCTGCAAGTCACTTGGCATAGAGACAACCACTCTAAACTAGAAAAACTGAAGAAGTATCAGCACAAACTGCTTCAAGAACATGACATTGAGAGAATTTTCACTGTGTGTATTGGATTCAGAGACCATTTATGCAACTAGGGAAGGTTCTTAATAACAAGAGAAGCAAATGACCGTTAAGCAAAATGACCGTTACAAACAGTTATGCAAGAAAAAAAAATCATTGATGCACATGACTCAGCTCTGATAAAGTAGCAGAGTCTTAATAAAACTATGCACTAATCAGGAGATCCAAGATGGCTAGAAAGAGAAAAGGCATCCTGATTTTGACTACACAAAAATATGAGATGAACAGGAGAGGAAATATATTTCCAGGGACAGTAGGAGATGTATTTGCAGTGAAACCCTAAGAGAGACCTTGTGAGCAGTGGAGACTACAACCATGCAGCAGCAAGCAAGACACCAATGCTGATTCCCATAGCACTGGCTGGAGGGGACATCATCTTCTTAGAGCTGGGGAAGAGGAATCTACAGCAGCCAATGCCACAGGTGATAGCCTAAGGGAGAACATTGCATCTCCACTCAAATTAAGTTCAGCCTGGACCACCAGCAGGGACAGGGTACCCAGCTAATGCTATTAATAAAAAACCATGCCTTCCTTCCCTCCCCCTACCATAATACACAATGGCCACAGAGGAACCACCATCTTTTTTTTTAATAACTTGTTTATCATGATACAGTTTATTAGGCTCAGGGATTTTCCCTTCCACTCTCACCCACCCACTTCCCATAACTGTTTTCTACTATATGGTAACAACAGTTCAGTCGCGTGACAACAGTCACAGGGCCATCATTCTACTATTTAAGTGTATCCTTACATTGTAGATATAAATAATAAAAAAATATGGAATGTTTCACAGATTTGCAGCTCATCCTTGTGCAGGGACCACGCTAATCCTCTCACTTTGGCAGCACATACACTAAAATTGGAACAATACCAGGAAACACCGTCTTAATCAGGCTATATCCCTTGAGTGATGGGAGGATTGTATTGGAGAGATAAATCCATGGTGCCCACTGACATTAGGCCTAGCATCTCCAATTAAACTGATTCATAATTTCTTTATTATTTTTATTATTTTCCATGATACAGTTTCATAGGTTTTTGGATTCCTCCTTTCTTCCCTCAAGAAACCCCACAGACCACGATAAAAGAATGTAGACATACCCCACCTCCTAAGAGATAAAAACCTGTCAACACAGAATATTTTAACCAGTAAAGCTCTCATTTACAAATGTAAGTGAAAGATAGATCTTTGAAAGAAAAATTTGAAGAATTTTACATTACTTATCCAGCCTTACAAATGATACTTCAGTATGTGTAGCATTTAGAAACACAGAAAGATAGTAAGCATTATAAAAGAATGTGAAGGCCAAAAATATCCCAGTAAAAGTAAAAAGGAAAGAAAATAAGAATATTTAATGATAGGATCAAGCCATTACTCATCAATAATAACCTTGAATGTAAGCATCTTAAATTCTCCAATTAAAATAGACTGGTTAAATAGATAAGAAAATAAGATTCAACTATTTACTACCTACAGGAAACATCCTTCACCAGCAAAGAGACCGAAAGTGAAAGAACGGAAAAAGATGTTACATGCTAATGGAAAGCAAAAACAAGCAGGATTATCCATCTTAGTACCAGACCAAATAGACTTAAAGCGTGTTAAAAAACACAAAGAAGTGTGGTAATTAAGCAGTCAATTCAAAAGTATGATGCAAATGTATTTAGTAAATGTATATGCACCCAATGACAGGGCACCTTGCTATGTAAAACAAATGTTAATTCATCTAAAGGGAGACATAGGCTACAACACAATAATAATGTAGGGCACAGTGTGATAATGTAGTGGTTAAGGTCCTCGATTTGAACACACCAGGATCCCATATGGGTGCCAGTTCTAATCCGGTGGCTCCACTTCCTATCAAGCTCCCTGCTTGTGGCCTGGAAAGTAGTCGAGGACAGGCCAAAGCTTTGGGACCCTGCACCCGTGTGGAAGACCTGGAATAGGTTCCTGGCTCTGGAATGGCTCTGCTCCAGCCTTTGTGGCTGCTTGGAGAGTGAACCATCAGACAGAAGATCTTCCTTTCCAATAAAAATAAATAAATAAATCTTTTAAGAACTAATAATAATGTAGCACTTCACACTCCATTTTTATCACTGGATAGATCAGCCAGCCAAAAATTCAACAGAGAAATTACAGAGGTCATATACACTATGGACCAAATGAACCACTCTTTAAACTGATACGTTTAAAGAAAATGTTTCATCCCAGAGTGGCAGAATGCACATTCTTTTCATTTAGGCAAGGAACTCTGTAACAGGCCAAATGCTAGGCCATAAAACAAGTCCGAACCAACTCAGAAAAGCTAAAATCATAACATGCATCTTTTCTGACCACAAAGAAATGAAGCTGCAAATTAGTAACTTGAGATTTAAGGAAGTATTCAAACTCATAGAGTCTGAACAACATAATCCTGAGTGAACAGTGCGGTCATAGAAGAAATCAAAAGGGAAATTTAAAATTTCCTCAAAACCAATGAGGATGACTATACAATGTATCATATGGAACACAGCAAAGCAGTGTTAAGAACAAAGCTTGCAACAATTAGTGCCTACATAAAAAAACTAGAAAGGTATCCAATAAATGGTCTAACAGTATATCTCTCAAAGACCTAGAATACAAGAATATACCAAGCCACATCCAAATTAATAGAAGAAAAGAAACAGTAAAAATTAGAAAATAAACCAAATTGAAACAAAAAAGATACAAAAGACCAATGAGCAGAAGATCCGGTTTAAAAATCACCAACTATGTTCAAATTGAGGTTTACTGGATCTGGTGTGATAGCAGAGTGGCTAAATCCTCACCTTGTAAGCACCAGAATCCCATATTAACACCAGTTCCTGTCCTGGCTGCTCCACTTCCCATCCAGCTCCCTGCTTGTGGCCTGGAAAAGCAGTAGAGGACTGCCCAAAGTCTTGGGATTTTCTACCCACATGGGAAACCTGGGGGAGGCTCCTGACGCTGGCTTCGAATCAGTCCAACTCTGGCTATTACAGCCACTTGGGGAGTGAACCAGCAGACAGAAGTTCTTTTTCTCTCCTTCTCTGTGTAAATCTGCCTTTCCAAGAAAAAAAAAATAAATCTTGAAACTGAGGTTTACCCTTTTTTATTTTTAGGAACATATAAACAATAACATGTTGTATTTATCTTACATTCTGTTTTTATCCATTTTGCTGCAAATGACAGAATACCATTTTTATTTACAGCTGAATAGTATCCCGTTAAATGCATGTTCCACATTTTTTAATCTGCATCTCTGGTGATAGATACCTTGGCTGATTACATATTTTGACTACTGTAAATAGTGCTGCTATAACATGGTGGATAAGCTATCTCTGATATGATGAGTTCATGCATTTTAAGTGAATACCCAGGAGCAAGATTACTAAATCATACAATAGTTCTATTTGCAGTTTTCCAAAGAAACCCCAATATTATTCTTACAGTGGCTGTACTAACTTACACTGTCATCAACAGTGTGTAAGAGTTCCCCTTCTCATGTTCTCAGCATCATTTGTTATTCTCTGTTTTTTTGATAATAGTCAAACTGACAGGGGTAAGATGATATCTCATTGTGGTTTTTGATTTGCACATCCTTAATAGTTGTTGATATTGAGAATTATATCGTGTATTTTTGGCCATTTTTAAACTATATGATCACAAAATAAAGGGGCTTTCTGAAACTTAACTTTAAGGAACAGTTTTCCATCACCAGTAAAATAATCAATGACATATTTAATCATTTGATTTATGTAGCAGGCTTTAAACTAATGAAACAGAACATTCACATTTCAAGACAGATGCAGCTCAGTAACAATGCTGAAAAAGCCAAAACAAAGTAAACTGAAGAGAGAGAGTGTATGTTAGATGTATTTAAAGCTTTAAAACATTCCAAAACACTGTTATTTATATATACACATTTATGTGCTAAAGAACATAATTTCCCTGAGGACAGGCATTTGATTTAGCATTTCAGATGTCTGTGTCCCATATCAAAGTACCCAAATTCAAGTTCGGATTCCAGCTACCTACTAAGGCAACACCTGGGAGGCAACAGTGGTGGCTCAAGAGACTGGGTCTCTGTACCATACGGGGCACAGAGACTGCATTTCTAGCTCCCAACCAGTGGAGCGGAGCTCTCTTTCTTAATCTCTCTGTTTCATTCATTCAATCAGTCAATAAAGCAATGGAGTAATTTTTATGATGGAAAATTTAGCCCCAACTCAGAAAGCTACTGCTTCCTGGAGAGAGGACAGTGATTGCTCTCTGAAAGGTGGACATTCTAGGAAATTTTCTCTAACAACAACTTATTCTAAGTAAATGAAGTGTACACATAAACAGGATGGAAAAGGTAAATGCAAGAGATGGAAGGGTAAGCAGAAGAAGCAACAACAATTGTAAAATCAGATCTTTCCTCCTTCTAACTTTTGGTCCCCGGGTATAGACTTCCTTTCCTGGATCCTTTGGTTTGGTTTGGCTTGGCTTCCCTCCCACACTCACTTGTTCCTGAAGTGGCTCTATCATCTTTTGAGTCCTACTCAGTCAGCCTTCCTTAGGAGGGTCTGCTGTTCGCAGGGGTCTCTATACTCTGGACTCCCATCCATTTTTCCTTCTGATGATCTTTTTTAAGTAACAAAGCCTCAGTTGGAGAAATTCAAAGTAAAATATGTTGTTATCAATTATAATTATTTCCTGCCCCAGCCCACCATGTAGTTGTATCTTTGGAGAGGGGAAGCTATAATTAAAAGTACTGCAAAATTTGAAGCACAATTTTATTACTGAACATAATGAAAAAATGATTAGTTATTTCCTGGATTGATATAGTCATACAATGATGACCTCAAGGAACCAGGCTCAGCCTACACTGGTATCTTCACAACCTGGATTGGGACCTCAGATGTGCACCTGTGCAGCACCCCAGGGGTGGCCAGCACTTCAATGTCTGTTAGTTTTACTACACAGAAAATTTCTTCTGGGATGCGGACCGCATTAGTTGTAGACTGGTATACACAGGGTAAGAGCTCTCTGGGACCTCTCTTCTAAGAAAATTAGTCAAATTCATGAAGTTTGCACATTCATGATATAATTACCTTCCAAAGCTTCCACATCCTAGTACCATCAATTAGAAGATAAGGTTGGAAACGTGAATTTTGACGAACACAAACATAGACTTCATTGTATTATGCAACTAAACAAAGCAAATGTTCTTTCATGCTTCAATTCACCAGAGGTGGATCATTGTTCTTGGTATAAATGCAAAGTGGATGGGAAAAATAAGGGAGTCGGGTTTTCAATCTCAATAGCTGCAGGCAGGTTCTGTTAGCACACATGAGAAAGTGAGAGGCGCAGGTTGTCAGATGATCAGTAGTGCTTGCCACTACCTTGTTGAAGGCAGTTGCCAAATTGGTGAGAATTTTGCCAGTAGGGAGAACATCAGTACCTAACAAAGATAGCATTGACCAGAATAAGGACAATACTAATAGAAGCTCTACTGGATCTCAGTGGATACAATGGTGTCCAGCAGATAACAGCATAGTCCAACAGTTTTACTTTCCAATGTAGTGGTTATCATCCTAAAACTTAAAATTCAGTTCCTCTGTCACAGTAGCCATATTTCAAGTATGCAATAGCCAGGTGTGGTTAGTGGCTATTGAATATAATAAATCAAGATCATTTCCACCTTTACAGAAAGTATATTGAATAGCATGGACTAGAAAAGGGAAGAACTGCAAAGCCTCGTGGGAAAACGATTGAATTATAGCTGTTCTGCAGACATCTCCAAGGATGCCTTGAGCCATGCTACAGAACTTTGGCCAGCAAAGGAATGAAATGTACTGGCTAATGATTTATAATGTGCTGTTTAAATCTTG